TGACAGCAGAGTGGACTTTCACATAGTTCACAGACGATTACAAAATCACATAATGGAGACATGATGAAGAATATGAGGCCTTTTTGATTTTGATTTTGATCTCACACAGTCCACAGGACTAATCTTTAATCAGCCAGCCAAGCAAAAAATAAAATAACAACAAAAAAAGATGAAGTGGAAGCAAAAAATTATAATGATAAAGTCCAAAAACAGGCTGGACATGAAAACAGCCAACGCCAACCAGGAAACCACAAAAACACCAAGAACAGGAAGACGTCACACAAAGAAAAAGGAAAGAAGGAAACCTGCAGCGAGCAGCAACGCGACACAGCGTGAGGGGAGCAGGCGGGAAATCAGCTGATACTGAGGGACAACGGTGAGGCTTTCTTACTCAGCTAACATCATGCTCGTAAACTGTCAGTACGAACCACGGCAGTGAGAAACAGGTTCTAATAGCATTATTATCCCTTTGATCTAAAAGGGCAAAGGTCAGAGGTCAAAGTCTGATCAGGATCCACTGAAAGCTTTTCCACCTATCGTGTTTACAGACGCTCAAACGCTACAAAAACCATAATGTCCTTGGCTGAGGTGAGTGGGAATCAACGAAGAAACCCAAAAACCATCGAGATTCACTGCTTAAAGGTGCAGTAGGCACCGAGTTTAAGTCACTTCCATCAGACAGGCACCAGGACCGAGACCAGAACAAGGACCGGGACCAGAACGAGGACCGGGACCAGGACGAGGACCGGGACCAGAACAAGGACCGGGACCTGTAAACAGCTTTGTAAAGTGAGACATGTTTAGAGGCAATCCCAAGAAAACATCTTTCACCCCTGAGGTTGCGTGCTGCAGCTAAACTTAGAGACGGTCAGTTTATCTGTGTATCTGTGTGTGTGTGTGTATATGTCATGGTACAAGAGGGTCTTGAAGCTTCTATCGGACGCTGGTCATACCTGGAAAGCTCATCTGTAACCATCGTTCTCCTCCTGGACTCCCTTGGAACTCTGGATTGGATCTCCTGCTACTCCCACTGCTCTAACCTTGCCCGGACACTCGAGCGTGCATCTGAGTCCTGATTGGATAAGGCACAGACAGGAAGGAAAAAGTGATGATTATTAGTACAAATGGGAGAAGGTGATGGACTTGGATAAGTTTAGCTTCTTCCTACTCCTTTTTGAATATGTTACCATATTAATTATGACTATTCTGTTCTCCTTATGTTTTACTTTGATATTTTTTTCATTTTCTTTCTGTATTTTTTAAAAAGAAAATAAAGGCGTACAATTCCAGCTCCAAATAAGTTCAAGATGTATGCGAGTTTTGTTTCTGTAAAATATTCGGCGTGTCTGCATTAACCTGTCTTTTCCATATCTATCAGATGTGACCTTTATCTGAATGATCCTGAGGTGGATCGCACGCTACAGTTCAGGCTCAGCAGGCTGCACTATCATAGGAATGCTACCTGCACACCTGTGTCACCTGATTAGACCTTCAGATAAGAGTGTGCTTTACATGCTGGTGTGCAAACTGTGAATGCAGCTCTTCCAGGAATGAAGCGCAGCAGCGCTGCATGTGCAAACACACAACCAGATGGTGCAGTCTGCTCTTCTGCACCAGTGAAACATCCCAGTTTGATCCAGTGTGAACAGCAGCTGTTGTTCAGCTGGTGCATCACAGCTGCTGCTGCCGGATCTCTGAGCACCTCAATGCTTCTGGACTCAAACCTGTAACTCCATCTCATTCACACGGAGTGAGCTCTGGGGCTATGAGGTAGACGCTGAAGTGCCAAAACCTGCAGTTCCTCTAACGTCCAGCAGAAGCTCCAGCAGTGACTCCCCCTTCATAAGAACCCTACAGGGGTTTAGATTCACCAGTGTGGGTCAGCTGAAGGAAAATGGCAGTTCTGGTGAAAGTTTGTATTCACGCCGTGTCTGTGGTACCTCTGTCAGCCGTGACCACGAACTGAGAACTGAGAAGAACTGAGAAGAACCGAGCCGGGGCCTTTCAGTGTAAGTTTTGCATGTTCTCCCTGCGCCTGCAGGTTTCCCTCCACAGTCTAAAGACTCACGCGTTAGTTTGATTCTATGCTGGCCATGTGACCTGCTGTATGAGTGTGCGGTCAGAGCGCCACATGCAGTTCAAAGTGCTCCCATTGGTCAGTAAGAGGTCATAAGATTAGAAATGTCATTTTTGACCAGGATATGTCCTTCAACGCACATATTAAACAAATATGTAAGACTGCGTTCTTCCATTTGCGCAACATCTCTAAAATTAGAAATATCC